ATGCTGACTCTGTAAACCGCTTAGAGAGGGCTGTAAAAGCACTATGAAGCGGTATATAAGTCTAACTGCTATTGCTATTGCTAAGTACAGAATAGGGATGGGATTTAGGTCACCTCCGTAGAGAAAGAAGGAAAAATTAAAGTCCTCCCCCCAAAAAAATAAATCCCAACCATTTTAGGGAGCATGATTAGTCTAATGGTTGAAACATGGGTCCTTTGCATATACTAATGTGGTTAGTGAAACACTAAGTTTGGAATTCTTTGTGTGGAATGCTAAAGAATGCTTTGTCCATATCACCCAAGACACTTAAATTTGTTTTTATCCTAAGTTGACTGATTTAAGTATAATTTAAAAAAAATCACATTGTCCTAGAAATTTTGCATTATATTTCCCTGGTTGAAGAAGACACATTTATATAACTTGGCAAGGCTACTGAACAGTATATATTTGGGCTGGTGGATATTTCTACATTTTCTATAAATGCCTTAATGAGATTTCTAGGGAAGCAGCTGTATTGGTTTGCTAAATGTCTGATAGATACAATGGGGATAATTGTTTATCAGACTTTATTAATTTGATTGCCTTCCTAGCAACTGACAATGTGTGCTCTGATGGCTTTTTGTAAGCAGAAACAATTAATATCCTGCGCTGCATTCTGAACAGATGCTTGCAGCTTTATCATTGCAGATGCTAGCTAGTTTTTTTAGTTCCACAATTTATCCCTTTAGCTTTTATTGGCAACTCTTCAAAGAATCTGCTGTTGGCATAAAAAAAAACCTTATGTCTGTGGAAAGAGGTAAGAACATTGCATTAAATGCCTACAATACAAGGAGCTGTAAAGCATCACTGAGCAATACAGGTGATTTTAGCTTTGTACAAGTAATAGACACCATTTACAGTTACGACAATGATGTAAAAGTAATTTTGGTACTAGGCAGTGATGAAATGTAAAAAAAAATTGCCACCAGCTCTCTGGGCGTGGCTTGGTGGTGGTATCATGTGACTGGGTGGGCGTGGCCAACTTCTTTTAATTTTTAAAGTATTTTTTACTACTTATTCACCCGAACCGGTAGTAAGAAGTGCTTTAAGAAGTGAAAAAAAGGTTCAGCGGTGCCATGCGATCGTCGGAACCTCTTTTCCCACTTTTTAAAGCATTTTTTTAAACTCGCAAAAAAATTCATTTAAAAAGTGGAAAAAAATGCTTCTGATGATCACGCGGCTCACAGCTGAATCGCCCGATCCTCGGAAGCTTTTTTTTTTTTTTTTTTTTTACTACTGGCTTGCAGAACTAACAACAATTGTCCCTACCAGTTCGTGCAAAATGGTGTGAACCGATAGCATTTCACCCCTGGTACTAGGCCTCACATTTATGAATTTCATATGTCTATACAGCAAATCAAATCAAAGCTGAAGTAAGAACATAAGCAAGGTCATGGCATCGGACCTGGGTACCTGAGAGACCGCCTCCTGCCGATTACCTCCCTCAGACCGATAAGATCTCA